TGTCATTGTGACTTTCACATCAAAATTCATTCTCTTGAAACAGGCGAAGTACAGAAAAAAGATTACGAGGTCAAAGTAATAACCTCTTACATGAAATTGACGTAGATGAATTAAAATTTTAATGTAAAACAATCATCAGCTCAACAGCTATTCCATATATAAAACACAACTTTTATTCACAACACATTTTATTGCGAACAGCAACTTGTATTTTGCCGTATATCATTCAATAGAGTTCAATGGAAACTTAAATGAAATTGGAGTAATTTATGATTTTGAAGGTTGTCCCGGTGCCTCATTCTTGCTGTTCCATTTTGTTTTATAATTAAACTATGGCACTATGTCTTCATTGAACCGAGATTTTTGATATCTGTAGTACTTCCAGCTCCACGCACATTCCGTCGTTGGTGTGAGGTTGAGTCTTTTCTCTGAGAATGGGTAAATTCAAAATAAATATTACGATAAAATGAAAAAAGTCTGTGAAAATATTTTCAGAGAATTATTCCTTACCTCGACAAAACGTCTCTTACAACAGCTCTTACATTTTTCACATTCGCACGGTTCTTCGCTCGCATGAAGCCTGTGATTTAAAAAAAAACGCATTATATTTACATATTAGCATTTAATATCTCTCTACAACAATTAATACCTAACGTATTCATCTGAGCAGGTGAAAGCCGGTAGGTTCTGTTATGATGTTATATTGAATGGCTTTCAATGTTTCGTTCTCTTTGAACATGATGTGTCTCTCGGTCCACGCTGAATTCGGGGCCAAGTGGATTTTTTTCGTGTGATGTTTTGAAGTTGAAAGCCACACGACTGTCCATTGAAAATGCGCAATTGCCCTTTTTCTGCTTCAGGCATCACTGGATACGTTTCCTCTAGGAACACTTCAAAGCCACACAACATCATGCTAACTTGACATTGCGAAGCGCCATTTTACTCAGTGGAAATAGCACTTATTGCAAGTTTGTCTATAGTCGAGTGCACATCAAAACGAAGAAACTTCTGAGCAAGCTATTTTTTCTATTGGAAGAAGTGCTGAAAAGCAGTTAATCAACTCAATAATGAGACGCATTTGCATCTATTTTGAGTTCAATTTTCAAATCATTCACATTTCCACGATACATAAGTTGCGATTTTTTTCAATTCAATCAATTTGGGCTATTTGATCATTTTCCGATGAATTTGCAGAACTTTTTCGTTTTTTTTTCGATTTGTGTCTTTGAAGTCTTAATTGTATTTGATATATGATAAGCAACGGTAGCTCCATATAAATAGAAACAGCTGGAAATATTCAAGTACATAGACTCGTCGTATTTTAAGACAAAGAACACATTACTACGCAGTTTTTTCCAAATGAATCAACAATTTTGAAAACTTGATAACGTTCACTACGCAAATGCAAGCAAATATCAACTTTTGCTTTGTTCCACTAATTTCCGAGTGTGATGAAATTATGTTCAAACAATAAGAAATAGATAACATATAATGAATTCGCCATAATTCAGACATAGTCCTTCGAATGAATATACTTTTCATATCCTATTAAATCCTTTTTATGCATATGATTCTAACACTCTATGGAAAATGATGTGCAATAACTTGATTCTTAAGAAGAAATTTGGGCGGCTTGG